GGTGGGGGGGATAAAAAAAGTTTGCAGAAATGGAGGAAGAGGTTGGGAGAGGATGGCTGGAAAAAGGAAAAAAGCTGGGAAAAAGGGGCAGGAGGTGTGTGCCAAAAGGGACCCCCCTGTCGCTGGTGCAGTTTGAGCCTTTGAGGCCAGGGAGTGTGTGACCCCTGTATGCAGGGATAGGGCCGGGCTCCTCGGATGATGCTCACTTGGCTTTGTTTTGGCTTTTTGTTCCTTTTCTTTCAATACTTTTTCTCCCCACCAAAATTTTTGGTGTTGCTACCAAGCTAAAATATCAGCTACTCCAGCAATGCAGCTCAAGGGCACCAGTTCGGTGTCTGGCCCTCCAAAAAAGCTCTTGTGCAACCTTGAGCGTCTCCCTCTTGGGCTCTTATTTTCCAGCTAGGAAGGAGGGGAGGGAGCAGTAATCCTTCCCAAGGTAGGGATAAACATGCTAACGAGATCAGAGGCACTAAACAGCCACTGTCTCAGGAAAACCAAGATCCCTACTTGGATTACTTGAGGAGCAGCCAGCTCCGAGCAGGAGGCACGGACATGGGCACCCGTTAGCTGCCAAAGGTTGTTAATGACACTTTATATGCATCCTCCTTCCCTGCATGTAAGAAAAGGGGAAAATAAATTAAAGTGGAATTGAATGGGAGGCTCTTGAGGGTGAACTGTGCCATGGGAAGCCCTGTTTGAGGCTGTTTTCCCCTCCCCTGAAGGACGGGGGACCTGCCAGGCTATTTGCTTTACCTGCTCGGTAGACGGGAGTAGGTGGTGTTGGGAGGTGTGCTTTATTATGTGGATTTAAATCCCTTCTGGGAGGGAAGGAAGAGAAGACATCAGTGAGTGAAAAGAAGGGATTTTTAAGAGAACAAGAGCTCGGTGCATAGGCTGGGGTAAGGTGGGCAAGTGCTGGCTACTTTTGCCTGGTGTAACATCACCCCAGACCTGTCCTTTTGCTGCTTTCCCAGGAGTTACTCCTGCAAATGGAAAGGTGGCTCAGCCCATTTTGAAGCAGTGCAAATGAGAAAGAGAAGAAAGTCTGTTTCGGGGAGCAGGGTAAGGGAGAGAAACCTTTTTTCCCCCTACTTTTTTGAGCAGCTAGCTCTGTCAAACACGTTTCACCCTGCTCTGCTTTGACATGTTGACAGAAGCAATGGGTGTCCTCCAGGCTACATGTTCCCATGCTCAGCCAGGTGACCTTTCCTATTCTGGGTGCTAAATCCCCTTTCGCCTCTACCTGCCTGGCCACGGAAATGTATTTTGGGTCTGGAGATCTGTGGGCTTCCCTGGGATCTCCATCACAGCCCTGTGCTGCTCTGTGTGCCTTTGCCCGTGAATTATTAATGCCGTTTTCGGTCTGCTTTGCGTAACACTGGCCTGTCTCCTGGTTGATTTTAAGACGTAGTGATGGGTTGAGTACTGTATCACTTCTGCTGGAGCTAACACAAATGCACAAGCAGGGGGCATGACAACGTGGAGCGGGACGCAGTGCCAGCGGAGCAGATGTCAGGCGAGTCGTAGCGTGTTAGCGTTGCGATGAGGCAGTGCGCTGGCGCGGCTTGGCCGGGTGCTGCGATGCTGCGACAGATGGATGTCTCGATCCTGTAAAGCAAGATGATATCACCTTGGAGGATAAACGGAGTATAATAGCAATTAATGATCTTCCACACTGCTGTATCCTTCAGGGTGCTGCCTGCCTTGGGTGAACATAAATCAGCTATATTCTGCCCAAGAAGGTCTCCTC